GTGGGAAGAAGAAGCTGCACCACTCGGGTTCGTCCCATCGGGTGTTGGTCCTGGTGCAGGACCTACACGTGGCGCGAAGGCTGATTTACACTCGATCAGACTCGTTCGTGGCTGGCATGGGATCGAGCCGGGCTTGGAACTCGGGCCTTCTCCGCGAGATGGTGCAAGCCGGGTGGGGGCTGATTAGCTTTGTATAGACCACCTATGATGGATGAAACCTATGACGTTCCTGGATTCATGAATGATTCATGATGCTTGCCGAGATTCAGAGGAAACATCCCTGAGCTTGCTCATCTCTCCCCAGTCATCACAGTGGCCACGCGACGCACCGTGCTGATGTGACTTGTGAATCGGACACCTCTGACGGCGCTGGGCCTCAGATGGTGTACTCATGTATACTCCTTCTTCTTTCGCTTCTTTGGTCTCTTCGTGTTTCTTAGACTCACCCGTTTGCAACAAACAGAGAGCCATGGTGGGGCCCTGGTGGACTCCGAACTCGTGGGCTAGTCACACAATAAAACCTCGAAAGAACGGCGGGTTTGGGTGCGAGATTGACTGTAGCGACGACCCTATGAAAGGCACTCAAAAAACACATGAAACGTTGGGTCACCGACAGTTCCGGAGTTCTGAAGACCCGTTGGGTCACCTGACGTTAAAACTGCCACATTTTCTTGCGTTGTTGCTGCAACATCAGCCGCGTCACTGCTGAATCCAGGTCCGGTTTTTCATTTTTCTTCAGCAGACGGAGTCCCCTTTTCGGGGGAGTCGCGCTGCACTGTTCAGAAACTGTTCAGAAATTCAGTGCACTCTGGTCCTTTGAATACTGGTCCAGAGCCAAGCTAGTGACCTTCAGAGTGCAATTTCCTTGTCCTGCAAGCGAATCGATACCACAGAGAGTCGATAATGCATTGCACGGCTGTCGTTCTTCAAACCTGTGCAACCCGGACATCAACAGACTCACGGAAGCTGTTCTACAGTGTTCAGTCCTTTGATGTCCTTTGTTTGTTTTAGCTGTGACAGTTCGTCGGGTTTCTGCACAGAAAGAGTTCAACAGATGCTGAATATTTTAGACTGTTTAAGCAGGTTCAACCCGGCATACAGCGAGCTGCTGCTTTCCGCGCCTGAAAGTGCGGCTTGAACCCAGAATCGATTTGTATCTCATGCAGTATCTCAGCAGCCAATTTGTTCATTGGCTCTGAGATTTGTTGCCCAGGTGCAACCATCACCGAGCCTTTGGCTTCCCCCCCCCGGACTGGTTTGTTCTGCTGGCTTTTGCCATGTCTTGCGCTGGCTGGCCTTGTTTGCTGCTCCGAGTAGCGAAACTGCCAGAGCCGGGGGAGGACAGTGTCGGTTGCGTCTCATCATCGAGATGGGAGATGACTCCACATTCTGGGATCGTGAATTAATTTCATATAGAGTTTCCATGACCTGCAGCATAGAATTTCATAGAGAGAGAGAGAGTCCAACAGTCAAACTTTTGCATCAAGAAGGGGGGACCCACTTGACCAAGGGGCTCTCCCTAAGACCCCAAGTGAACTCAGTCGGGGCGGAAGAACTGGGTCTGCGAAGAATTGGGCTTTTAAGGTTTTAAGGCGAGGACGAGTGCGCTTCTCGCGCGCAGCTATGTTTCCGCGCTAGCTACGCGAGAAGAAATCGCTTTGATCGTTGCTTTGACCGCGGGACATCAGCAGAGACCCCGATTATGGCGCGCCTGGCACAGTGACCCGGCGCGGAAGACCGTGGGCGCGACCACTTCGGCTGCCAGATGTTCATGGGGTGGTCAGATCACTAGCTCTAGCAGCTAGCAGAAGGGACATAGTACTGAACACTCAATCCTGTGTGTTTCAGGGTCAATCTCCAGTCACCCCTAGTAGGCTTAAAGAAAGGCACAGCCAACTAGAGGTTTGGGGCACACTGGGAAGTTCTTCTGGAGGGGTCCTGGCCCGTTCGGGGAACTCCAAGGCACAGCTCGGCCTCCCGAGCGGTGCCTTGGATCCAAAAGGAGTTGCTTCCTCCAAGTAAGGCTAGGGGTGCCCATGATCCACTCGATGGGACGAGCCGATTCTACCACCCCGTTTTGTGACTCCTTGGTCTATAGTTAGGCCAGCGACGCATCACATTGACACATCAATCTTCTATACTTTTCTGTCGGGATACACAGTCACAGTGCATCTTTCTGCAGGTGAACAGTTTTTCGGTCGTCCGCGGTCCACAGCCAAGGTGATAAGGACACTTGAGACGAGGCATTTGAAGACCTCAAATCAGATCCTCCAACTTGAGCATCGCCACGTCCGGGCCCTTGCAGGGAACAGAGGGAAGTTCAGGCTGGCATGTCTTCTGCTCTTTGGTATGGTTTGTGATTTAGCGTTTGGCCCTAGGGCTCCAAGTAGCTCCTCAGAAGGTATTTGGACCCTCCAAACCCAACCCAAACACCTTTTCAGAGAAGGTATTTGGAGCCCTAGGGTGGGGCATGTTTCTCCTGAGATGGACGCTTGGAACGGCTCGTGAATTTCGTGCAATCTGCATTTGACCATCTGAGGCACTTAGCGCCCGCGTGCCCACACCAACGCTGCGCGCAACAAAACCGCAAGTTTTCCGTTTCACGCTGGCGGTGAAGTGGGCCTCCACCCTACCGCGGGCCGCTGGACAGCGTTTGGCTGAGGTGCGACGGGTGGCTCGTGAAGATTTACATAAACTCTTAGAGCCCTAAGAATGACGGATTGTACAAAAGGTGTCGACAACATGTTGAAAATTTCTGAACATTTTATCAAGAACCGATTTTGACAATCCTGGCAGGAAGGTGCTCGTAACAGTTAACAGGTCACATCCCACCACCCTGTCGCAAGATCAGGATTCTCATATGGAGGGGTTGTGAGTCGAACCAAGCCATACTTACATAATAGACATTTACCATCATTTACACCATTGATGACCCTAAGTGATTAGGGGCCCAGTGTTCCCAAACCTAGTTGTTGATGCAAATTGTGCCGTGGCTTTCTGATAGCCGTGGCTTTCTGCGTGCCCACACACTGGGCCCCTACATGTTTTCAGAATGAATTTCTTGTTGAGTCTTCGCAAGCACACACACACACATCGAGAGGGATTCCAAACACACATATATATATATATTATATGTGTCCACAAACTGTAACAATTTACTCCAGCATGGTCCAGGTATCATTCATTCCTTTTTTGTCTGTTGTTTTTCCAATTCTTTTTGCAAGGAATCGGTACATAGAGGCTGAACAACAGACAGATATTCAAGATCACGACTGCAGCCTCGAAGAAAGAGCAAGACACAATTATAGCCTATAGCTGTACAGCACGTGCAGCTTGAAAGCATTCAATGACAAGCAACATGTAAGTTCCAGCATCTCCCAGTTCCGGGAAACCAATAGTATGTGGGGAAGTCTATAAATCACCCGAACTCAATCCTTGCTCATTGCCCAAACTTGTATCCCAGAATGAGCTCCCAGAGGTGCAGAACCCTGCTATGGGCGGACGGTAGCCATGACCTTCAGCCGAAGTAGCCTCAATATCTAAGGGATTTCTCCCTTTTGCCTACATCGCTCCAAGCCCTTTCGACGTGGTTTCGGTAGCCTCCACCTGCCGATGTCATTGTGGCGGTTTGGACGGTGATGTAGACGGTGACACCGTGGTGCACATCGCTGGTGAAGGCGCCCCAGACATAAGGCAAGAAGTAAGAAAACCAGCTAAGCAGAAACTTTTGAGCTCGGAGCACGTAGGCATGTCTCAAGGTGCGCGGATCCTACTTCAGAGCTTGCTGGCGCTAGAGCTTTAGCTCAACAATTTGGTCGAGAATGTCACGGTATATCAATTTGGTTGTGTACTGGATCTCTGTTTTGTTTGCTTGGACAACAGGGAGCCAGCAAGTGTGTCAAGAAGACACTAAATCGGGAAGGTTGCTTTCATTGGCGCACAAACCGATTGGAGGGAAGAATGCATTTCCTTCGCGAGTCATTCAAAAAGAAGAGGTGGAAGACTGCCGGATGCGCTATCAAGAAAGAGCCACAGATTCCAGCCACACACTATGGGTCCTTTTTTTGTCATTTGTCGCTTAAGTAACTACGCTGAGCAAGATTGTGTTCAATTCTAGAAAAGGTACACATATACATTTGTTTAATTACAATGTAAATACTCGAAGTTTCTCACACAAGCAAGAAAACATGGCTGCTGCCCTTTTCAAGGACAGTTGCACATATTGTTTCTCATTTGATGTCAGGACCAAGAGCAACATTGCTAAACTACACTTGGGAAACACGGCCGGCAGATCATTGGGGAGGGGAGTAACCAAGACGACAAGGCGACCAAGACGATATGTGTTAAACCCACAGCATTGAGACTGGCACAATGTTTTAACATTGAAAGACAGCAGACAGCAGCTAAGTCAACAAAATACAGAAACGCTGTAGTTGTTTTACTTTTTTTGTAGCAAACACACACACACACACGCATGCTGCGATATAGCCAGAATTGTTCATGCTTAGCTTGCTTTGACACTTCCGTGTGTATTTGGGAACTTCTCTTCATGAATTTAATTTGGCTCCTGATTGTTGCTCTGTTTGTGTGTGCTCTATTTGTGTTTGCTTTCGGGCCGACTTTTCCCAGGTCGCTTCTGTGTTTTGCCAGGGGTGCTTTTGTATCCTGCAACATCCATAATATAGACAAAAAGGGCGTCCAGTGGATGGTTTCCAATGCCGAATCCCGCAGCAAGATCGACTCAATAGCCATGTACACCAGACTCAGCCTTTCTTGGAGTGATGCAGACAGACAGTTGGAAGAGTACTTGCATCTATGTGGAGCCAAGTTCATTGGTTTCAAGGTTTAATGTGTCAAAGTCCTTCACTAGATAAAACACGTAACCTTCTCGCTTTGTTTGAACCGAACAAACATCGCACACACAAACTCACCAAACCTTCGACCGCAGCTTCCACCCAACGCCCGGCGTCGCGGGTCCCGCCCGCGTGGGTTCGACACCGATGGCCGACGGTTCGAGCGCTGCTCCGGCGTACCCCGCCACCTTCATGAGGCGCGCTGCGCTGGGAACGGGCGCCTTCGCGTTTGGGGAACGCCATGGACATCTGGACGCCATGAGGACTTCATGAGGACGCCATGAAGGGTGGGTCGATGATGTAGCCCTCAAGCCTTCGATGGTGTGGACATTGGACAGCCAATGATCAAAAGAGATCAAGATGCCATCAGGATTCTGAATCTGCCTCATGCTTCGGGGCCCTTCGGGGCGGATTGATCCGAACATGCTTCGGGGCCCAGCATTGGGCAGATTTGTTGGGTTTGTTTGGTTGGCCTTGTTCGGGGTATTGGAAGATGGGACTCAACATGACCTGGTTTTGAGATATGTTTTATTTCCATGGTTAAATCTCCTGATGAATATTGTTCATATTTTTTCCAGGTTCCTGAGCAAATCCAACATGAACACTGGACAGTTTGCAGGTAAACTACAAACCTAGAACATCCAATGCGTGTCCAATGAAGATCTCTAAGTAGTGTAGGGCAGTCCCTTGGACACCCTTTGAGATGGTCCTGGTATCCAGTGGATTTGTGCAATAACACCATGGATGACACCTGTTCTAGGCGGATCGGGTGATTTCTGTGACATGCCCGAGCCTGGGTCAATTCTGTGCCATCTGAAAGCCTGGGCGTGGTTTCAGATATTTTTATATTCAAGCTTTACTGGAGATGATGGATCCCACTGGCATCCACTGACATATTCTTAAGTGAGTTGAAATCACCAACCAGAAACCGTCTCTCACTTTTGAAAGCCAGCCTTTAAGGGGCAGGAGGTTGCTGCGAGTTCGCAGCCAGCAGGTGACATTTTGGGAAGATTGATGTATTTATTCTACTTGCCCCGTTCCTTAAGCAAGTCCAAGGCTTCTTTAGCTGATTCTGCCGAAGCATTGCTTCAGAAAAGTGAAGCGTTTAATTGGTGGTGGCAAAAGGGAGCGAAAACACAGACAAACCAGTTGTTCTTGGTGTCGGAACATGATGGAACATGTCTCACAATGAGGTCGCACTGTTGGCACTCTGTTGCGGGTCTGTGTTTTTTCCTTTTTTACTAGGCGTTGGGAACCCATAGGTCATTTAGCCATGCGCTTGCAGCAAGATAGCGCTTCCAGGATTGAAAGGTGATTGGAACTCGCTGTTTCACTCCACGCGATCTCTCACGCTGTTTCACTTCCAGGTATCAGAGCCCTGAGGCTGGGAAACCTTTGCAGGTGGTGTTGGGCGCTGTGACCGGTGTGGTGTTCTTTTCAAAAACATGGATGTTGGCGAGGGATGAGAAGCCGCCTATATAGTGACTAAGCAGTGCTAAGAAGAAGACTAGGGTGTGGGTTCTTGACATTGGGGTCCACATCAAGGTGGATGCAATGGAGTAGGCCGCTCTTTGGGCTCTTTCTAAACTGAGGAGAATGTAAGGCCCGATTCGATGTGACCTTCGGGACTGTTGATATTTGTACATAATTAGACTAAATAATGGATATGTGGAGTGTTTGTGCAACCATCATCCCTGCTGTTTGCACCCATCATCCCGCTATAGGGTGTCTTCGTGTCTTCTGCAAGTCCCGTTTGCCTTCAAGACCTCGTTCTCATCTTCGTCTTCCTTGAGGGGTCTATATAGAAGACGCGGCGCCCGGGTGCAGATCTTCTGTCACTCACATCCAACTTTTTGGACTCAACAGGAGCCCTTTCACCACACCCTCCTATCGGTACGGTGAGGAAGGAGATACTGTGGTACGGTATACGGTGCCAAAACGGTCGGGTCCAGTTGTGCCGAACCTGAGGTTCGGTACGACTGGATCCCTCGGTATATCACACTTTTCCTGGATTTCTTGGAACCGACTCAACAGCTCGTCTGATCACCGGTCACCGAGCCGCTTGGACTCCGTCGAAGGGGTCCTACCCCAGTCTCCATCCCTGTCTCCACGTTTTCTGGGAAAGGGTTGGCCGGTGTTTACGGTAACCCCGATCTTCAACAGCGTGCAAGAACTGTGGGAGTGCATCATAGTGCATCTTGATGTTCAGAAGACAAAATGCATCCTGCTTGAGATGCTGTATTTTAGAGTAGCAGCAAGAGATCATATCATAATATCCCATCCGGCCATTCTCGCATGTTTGAGAATTGATGAATCTAGTAACTTCTGGTATTCCAGCCTGTTGTTACATGGTTGTTCAACTTGTCAAATTTCAACCCTCCTTCTGAGCGCACACACACAAAACAAGAAAACAAACAAACTCAAAAGGCCTGGCTGAGCTTCTTCTCCTTTGCAGGTGCAGAAGCCCTCTCTGCCCCTACGATCTGTCGACCGGTCTGCGAATCTGGAGACCTCGTCTGTCGTGACGACCCGCGGACAGCGCGACGCTGACGCTGTCCGCGAACGTTTGCGGAGATGACGTGCGGTCCATGAGCAAGCAACTGAGACAAAGGTGCCGCAAGGTGCCCAAGAAATTGTGACCATGACCCCAGAAAGACAGCTAATTGACTTGTACAATGCCTTGTACCCCCTTTTCCGAGGTACGACCGTGGTCGGGCAGAACACTGTGGGTCGAACCGCTGTTCGGCGGTGAATCGCGGTGAATCGGCCTGAATCGCTGTTCCGCCAGGAGATCCGTTCCCATCCTCCCAGTGGTTGGAGCGAGGACTGGGATCCGATCGGCGCAACAGAGGAGCCCTTGGTCCTGGTCCTCGAGACACCGAGCTGGTGAGCCCATGGAGCCAACGGACCAGAGCGACCGAGCGACTCCGGCGGTGAAAACGGAAGGATTGGAGCGAGAGGATCGGTGCCCCTGTGACATCCTCTCGCTTCTTCTGGGACTCCTCTCACTTGCGCAATGAGATGTGACGCGTGGGTGGGGGTCCAGGACGGTCCGCCTTTGGGGGAGGTCGCCATGGGGGAGGAGACCGCCATGGTCTCCACTCTCCCTATTTTATTTTGAGACTTAACCCAAAAGACTTGACCCAAATAAATGAACATCACAATGGTTGGGAGTGATGCGCCGCCTTTGACTATCATTCACTGTTGAGGGCCAGGGAGTCTTTCAAGTGGAGGAAAGATGAACCACCTTGTTCATCCACTGATGCGGAAGGTAGTCCACAGCTACAGTATATATATATAGAGATGCTATGCGTATTACCATCCTTCTTGCTGCACCTGCAGCGACCGTGGCAACCACACGTGTGTCGGTCCCATGCTGTCGACACCTGTCGGTCCCATGCTGTCGCTGACGCGAAGCAAATATTGTTTCGTTGACAGCTGAACACCTTGTCCACTCAGCACTAGGGATTACTGAGTCGCGGGTTGGTCGAAAGCAAGTCTCAACAGTACCTTGAAAGAGTCTGTACCACTTCAAGTTACCTATAGGGCCGTTGATGAGATTAAGCTTGAGCCGACCCAGGAGAACATCTCGCCTCACACCCTTAGAGATCCCCGGAACCAGGTGGGGATCACACAGGTTTGCCACCCAAAAGTCCGACGGTCCACCTCTAAGGTGACCGTTGGTCCGAAGATGCCGACAGGTACGTATGGAAACACACCGTGGGGGTTTTGGTCAATCCAGTTCTCGGAGAACTGGTCGATCCAACTCTTAGAGTTTTTCAGCACTTCCTGGTGGTGTCCAATAGCCCCGGGGAGGTCAAGGGGTGTCCATGAACCACCCCTTGCGAATCCGGGGTGATGTCTTCTTCGCTGACACCGACAGGACAAAGGGCCAATCGAATTGACTCAGGCCAGTCGGTTGCTGCCCGTCGAGCCAGTCGAATCGTTGCCAAGTTTCAAAACTGAGCAGGATTCTCACAGTTGTACTATACATTCAATACTTAATTACCTTTATTGGACCCGGATGCATGGGCATAGTATGGCATATAGTGTTAGTTTTTGCACAGTTGCTGTACTGGAGTACTGATGCAGTTTCTTTCAAAACAAAAGTGCCGCTCCGAATGCTCCTGCTCTAGGAAGCAGCCGAGACCCTCTTGAGGCAGGCATTTGGTTTCTCGGTCAGGGTCCCTGTGGTGGTTTTGCGAGAATCGTGAAACCGGCATATCAACCGGCTACAACAGCTACAAGTCAGTCTCAAATAGGAATATCCACTTATACCACCCAAAACCAAATAGAGATACTTCGCCAGTTACTGGCAACAGAAAGCCACTGATGCTGATGTGGGGTTAGTCTCTTGACCCACATGCCTTTTGATCGATGTGACATGATGTGAGCTCGTTGCTGGTTGCCGGACTCGGTGCTGGTCGAGGACGACGTTGACTCTAATGGGATCCAATAGGCCATTGGCTTTTTCATTCACGTCTGACGGCTGAGTGCCAAGCTCAGTCCACATAGTCCACTCTCTTGGCTAAACGATCGGGTTCTGATCGAAGCCGCCGATCGAGTGTACAGCCGTTCTCCCGGAGGCGCTTCCGATAGACATCTGGGATGAAAGGGGTTTGGTTGGGGAATGGGGCCTTCCCCTGCTATGGTCGGATCCAAAGTTCTTAGGATCGTAAGAGGGAGCTCAAGTGAGTATTCTGGCTGCTGAAGGGCCTTGGGACGAAGCACGAAGGATCCATTGAATTGGCAATTTCCTATGTCCATTTCTTAGAGCCTGCAGTCATCTATGTCCTTTTGTTAGAAGCCAGAGGGCTGCCTATATCCGCTTCTGGGCGGCCTGCGCTTATCTATGTCCACTTCTTAGAAGCCAGTGAGGTGGCGATATCCGCTTCTAGGAGACCTGTAGTCTATATGCATTTTTCAGAGGCCAGAGAGCTGGCTATATCCGCTTCTGGGAAGCCTGCGGTGATCTATGTCCACTTCTTAGAGGTGACATAGTTATATCCGCTTCTGGGGGAGTGGTGTATAATGAGTGGGTGTGTGATCATGATGAATGAATGGTGGTGTATGACGAGTCGTGTGTGATGAGTAGTGTCTGATCAGTGCTGTGTGATGAGATTCGCTTCTGCACAGCTTCTCATGAAATCCGCCCACTCTTCTTGGGTTGGCTCGGGGAGGAGCCGAATCCATGTTTTGCGCGCGACCCAAAAGCATCATATTCTGCACAGGTGCCTTTCCAGGCCAGCAGTCCCCCGACAAGCTTTCTTCAGACTTTTGCTCGGTGACCTCAAACAAAGCCCGGGAGTGGCAGACGGGCAAGAAGTTCCTCGCACGCTTCTCCTCAAAGCTCCCATTGGGCTGCGAGCCCCAAATACCTGGTACATGCCGCATGAGTTCCCCAGGAAGGAGAACAGTGTACAGTTCCCCAGTAGAGTGGCATATGATGAGTGGTGTATGATGAGTGGTGTTTGATGAGTGGTGTATGATGGGTGGCGGTTGAGTAAATTGTATCTTCGCCTGTCTTCAGGATCCCCTGTCTTCAGGATGGCAGAGGGCAGTCAAAGCTCGTATGAGGGATATTGTCCATCAACACGATCAATTTGCTCAGTGTTCTCATAAACCTGGACCAGGCACTGTTCAAGTCGACATACAAATCATGCAATATTGTTTCTATTTTAGAGCGCCATAGATATAGAAAAGCATAGAAACGTATCGACCCCCAGATCCCAATCTCAATGACTGACCTGTCTGACCGTCGTTTTCCGCCGGTGTGTCCGGTGGGTTCCCCTTCGATCTCTTCGGATTTCTCAAGGAGTTTGGCAGAGGAACCCTTCGAGACGGTCTTCGAGGGTGAGGTTCGTGAGCTCACGCGCGGTGCGGCGATGTGAATCAGGCTGCGTCATGCGGAGAGCGGTTTTACGAATCAGGAGTCACAGAGGAGGTTAGGTGCCGGTGGCAAAGGGAGGAAGGAGGTTAGGTACCCCTGTCACGTCCACTCGCTGGATGGGACTAAAAACCCCTTTGTGCATCCTGGTGTATATTATATATGAAAATCAGACATCGTTCCACACGGCGAGTGCCTTATTGGAGGGTACTTGTACGTTTTGTTTTTCCATTCACTGGATGGAATCCCTTTGGAACTGCTTGAATTCACCAAGTCCGCTTTCCAACATCAATGAAGAGTTCGCTATCGCCTCACATCCTTCTTGTGATATGACTAGTCCGGCACCCCGATCATCTCAAAGTCTCCAGTACTGGGAAGCCGTATTCTTTTGCATCCCAGACCACCAGTGGCAGACAGGGCCTCCCCCGTTTTTGGGTCCCACACCCGTTCAACCAGAAGTCAGCGTGAGGATCCTCTCAGCAGCTGCTCCTACGTTCGAAACCTTGACACCAAAGAGGCACGCCGCCGCGATGTCACGTGTTGAGAGAACGATGCGAAAGGATCATGTTTAGGGCATTTTCGGCGAAAGCAGAGGCCAGTGTTGCACTGTTTTTGTGGATACAGTTGCGAGTATATGAGTGGCAAACTTGACGGATTTGATTGTGATTAAGAACCCCAGAAGGCCGGAAGGTCCAGGAACAACATGTGGAGGCGGTCCGGTCTATCATGAGGGATCCCAAAGACAGTCCCAAGGACTAGATCTCTTCATGAGGAGGGGCCAAGATTAAAACTCATGGGAAGATTTCATTGGTTAACCAGCTCTCCAGGTAGGGCAACCATCAAAGACCTGCACTGACCGCTTCACGGCGATCGCATCCGTCACCGACACGCGGACGCGCCAGGTGCGGCCCCTAGCCCCGGAGAGCTTCACGGAAAGCTTTGCCCGGACGCCCATGGACACGGACGCCCATGTGTCGCGTGAGTCAGGTGGAGGCGAGACGTTGCGGCGGGACGTGAGTCGGGTGGGCAATGTGTGCGGGCCAAGGTCCCGAACGGTGCTCGGTGTTCGGTGTTGGATCGGTGGTTTGCGCCAGAGAGAGAATGAGAGAGAGAAGGGGGGGGGTGAATTCCAAGACAGTCAGAAACGGATAGAAACGGGTACCACGTAATTTACAATACTCAGCAGGGTGTCCCTTTTGAGTGAGTTAGGTTGATTGTCCAAAGCTTTTGTCAGCGGACGCCGAAACGTGGCGTTGGGTGGGGAAGGTGGGCTGAACATTTTAGGGTCTTTGGAGGCGTGGCGTGAGTTTCTAGTGTGCCATTGATCTTCTTGGTGTTGCAGCATTGCTTGAAGAGTAGCAAACACGGTCTATTATGTATTATTTCTCTAGAAAATTGTGAACTGAAGAGAAGCAAAGGCACACGATCGGTCCCCAGATGTTTGGGCCACGTGAGTCGGCTCGAGTGAAGGTCACTGGCATTGAAGGGACGCAGATTGTTTTCTTTTTTTTCCACATGAACACGCTGCAGAAACATCGACTGCCTTGTCCCTGAAGATCCCTGAAGCTATCATGAGATCATGCGCAGCGGCTGCAATCTTTTTCCTGCGCGGTTGTATCAATGTACGATACTGATGGCATTTAGACTCTGAAACCGTACCAAGTCAGTGACCAAGTGGTAGGTATAGATGCTCCTAAAATATGCTTTTGTTGTTAAGATTTATTAAGCATCCGATCCAGTGTTGGGTCTCAATGTTATTTCTGATCTTGATAAAGTTGTTTGATCCTCTTACCAAAACAGAGACTCTTACTTTGATGTTACCATGTTGGCATCGGGTCCTTTTGGAGAATACCCAGAGTCAGTGCACCTGGATATCCTCCAGCAGACCATCCTCCTCCTTTCCTGTAAGCTTACTTGGTACCGTGTGTTTAATTCTGCAAAATCACTTGATGAAGATTGTTTGTGGGTCGCATGAAAAACAACAGGAGCTTGAACCAGTGGCTATACTGAGACGTTCTGCTGCCTCACTGGAAAAGAAGGCCGGTCATAGTAGATGGCCCATCGGTTGGTCAGATGCTCCGTTCGTAGTAATGCCAGGAACGCCCCGTTCGTAGCTTCGAGCTGCTCCGTTCGTGGTCGTCCCAACGCCTTCCGAGGTCGGGAAGCTGTTCAAGCCCAAGCCAACTCGTCATCACATGCGACCCTGGAAGCTCTGGTGGTGCGAGTCCCCAGCGAAAAGCCCGTCTTCGAGACGGGGCTGCGAGTCCAAAGATTTCAACACGGCATCACCAAGCAAACTCACGACTTACCTTTTCCCCCTCCCCCAAGCACACACGTGTCCACTTCCATCATGACTTCGAGTGTGGTTCGGCCGTGTGCGCCGTGCCGGCCTGGTCAGGTGTGAGAAGAGACGAAAGGCCGGACCTTGAGTCGTATTTTCCTTGGTGCGCATGCCTTGGGAGGCCGGTTTCTATGGGGGTCTTCCCAAGGATCCCCCTCAGCCCCAGACACGGATGACTGCCCGGATGATGGACAAGTGTGGATCACGGGGGCCATGGGGTTTCTGACTATAAGCAAGAAGTGAGAAAAAAAGGGGCAGAACCCATGTGAACCGCGTTTAACCGCTGATTTTCACGGAAACTGAGGGGGAGTGAGAGTGGAATATAGGCGTATACGTCGACCTCTTTCAACCAATCCAATGTTGGTCAATATGGCAGTCGCCCAAACCCTCCCAGGCTGGCCACGAGTTTGCCGGCTCCCCCTTTTTGGTTAAGGTTCAAGACAATTCCGAACCACACCCAACATTTGATTCCCCTAGGCCTATATATATATATATTATATATTCCTCTCAACCATGCTATCCCACCTCAACCTATCTCGATGTATATCTCCAGGTTCCTGAGCCGTCCCCTTCGCAGGACGAGCTCCTCCTCGAGGCCGCCCTGCTGGGTGATGCCGCCGCTCTGCTGGACCTGCTGGAGCAACCGCCCAACGGCAACCCCCCCGCCGCGGCCAACGCCTTCGCCTGCGGCGCCCGGTGCGCTTGGCAGGGAAGGGCAGCGTTGCACTTGGCGGTGCAGAGCGAGAGCCTAGAGGCGGTGGAAGTCTTGCTGGACAAGGGAGCACAGGTGCGGATGGTGGATGTCTAGTGGAGGGCTATTCTGGGAGTGACTTTGGAGTTCGGAAACAGGAGTAATAAGGCGGAGAAGAATTGATCCAGGAGTCACAAGACGGGGTTGTTTTGAGTCCCCACGTGGTGGATGTTCTGGGCACCCCTATCCTCCATGGATCGCACCCCTATCCTCCATGACCGCTGGAAGATTCATCGCTTGTGCCAACACCATCGATTGGGTTGAAGCCACCTGGTTCGAGAGACTCCAGTCCGTTACATATCGATCGTTACAGTACCCTGGGTGTAGAAGGTGACACAGACCTACATGGGTATGGTATGGTATGTATAGTGCTGATAGAATTGGTGGCCGTGGAGGCATAGTTCAAGATGAAAGCGTGTAAGTGTAGAATTCCACAATGCCCTTCCACCATTTTTCCTTGCTTTGCCCTCCCAGATTCTGGCTTCCTTGAGGACCGGTCATTTTGACCTGCTTGCTTTTTCCCAGGTGAACGTGCGCAGTCGTCCCTGCAAGCTGACGCCTTTGCATGTGGCTTCCGCCCAGGGCAGCATCGATTTGGTGAGTCATTTGCTGACGGCGCGCGCGGACGTGCTCTGCCAGACTGAGGATCGACAGATCGCGCTGCACTACGCGGCCGCGAATGGGCACTCGGAGGTGGTGAAAGTGCTCTTGAAGCAGGATGCCAGTCAACTGGGCTATCGCCACTGGGATGAAACACGGGCGCACATATTTCAGGGGCGACGGTCACCAGTCTGACTGGGGTCATGTTGCCATTTTAATTCGATTCTGTAATCGTGTAAATTAGTAATGACGTTGACCTTTGAAAAGCTTGCAGAATTTGGTCGATCCTTCCACTTTCATGCCCGACCTGGAATTTCCATGTGACTTCCGGTCACTTCCCGTCTGTGTTGGCGCTCGTCCAAGGCAACATCTTGGGCCAACGTCCTGCGGAGGCCGCTGCCGACTTCGCCACGCTGTGCGCCTTCCGCGCCTGGGAGTTCCAGTGCTCCAGCTTCACACCCAGCGGCGGCACCGGCAGCTGTGGCACCGGCAGCTGGACGGGCGGGCGCCGGAACAGCGGCTGCAGCGAGGCGAGCACGGCGACGGGCAGCGAGCTGCCGGTGCTTGAGAGTGAGGCGGGGAGGAATTGAGGAATGGAGGGGGGGTGACTTTGGAGAAGAAGTCTGAAGTGGATGCTTGGGGGTGAAGATCTGTGGATGTGGGGCATGCGAGGAATGAGCCAACGTATCGATCAGATGTAATGATGTTGGATGAACCCAAGACCACAGGTCACCAAGTGCCTCAAGATGGGAACATCATCAGCAACATTCAACAAGCTTCTCTAACTCGGGGACCTCGACGGCTTGACACACACTGTAGACTTGAAGTCGGTTGTTGGTTGATGACAAAAATGGCTGGTTTCTTTCATGCTTGGTCATCCATTTGCTCATCTCCGCTCTTTGCAGAAGCCGCACGACCATAGCGACCTCTATGCCGAGCGAAGCACCTTTGGCTGTGGAACCACCTTGCTCCTGCGCAATGCCCGGCCAGACGCCGTACAGCGGCTGCTAGAGAAGACCCGCCAGTTGGAGGCACTGCCGCAGCGCGTGCACCGCGCGGTGCGGCGTGCGCCATGTCATGGGTTCTCCTGAGGCAGCGAACGAGAAGCCAGAGAAGGCCACCTTGACAGCCCGGGCCTTGAAGGATCTCAAGGCCGCATACTTGTCGGGGGGGGTTGCTGTGACGTATGATTGAGCGCATGACTTTTGAAGGAAGAAGCATTTTATTGTTCAGCAACACAGAAGTAACACACCCCCACACAGCCCTGTGTTTGACACATGTTTTGTTGAACAGACACCTGTGTTTGCATGTGTTTGTGAATTTACAATTGTGTGCATGAGTATTTGACGGTATACCCACAAAACGTTGCTTTAATGCCATTCATTATATTTCATTATGAATGCAAGAGCCAGAGCGAAGTCTAGCCGGTACAACCACTGATTCACTGGGTCCCAGAACCGTAGACTTCACAAGCCTTGCTTCTGCGATACGGACGGGTTCCTGCCATCCGCTTTGAAAAACTGTGCAATGGTTTTCGATAGACGCCTCATTGAGTGGATGACACTGCTCACCACCAGGTGACCTCTTTCGATGCGAGCCTGCAAGTAGGATCAAGTAGGATAATAGCATAGCCAATATCAAACATATTGAACCATATTGAACCATTTGCGGAACAAGAAGTGAGAAACATATCGACACATGAACCTGAAGAAACCTGCGAGTTAAGCTTCACTGCCACAAACCAAATATGTCATGCGCGTCAACGTCATTACAGTCTTCCAGCATCTACATGTGCCATCATCGCCAATCCCAACCCCCCGCATCGTGATAGAAGCACATCAACCTTGCCCTGTCCCTCACGCATTCATCTCATCATGCAGAACATCGAATGTGCAAAAACCTTCAAAAACACGCGGTGCACGACGCAACATTCCCACGCACATGCTTTTCTCTCAGTGGCCCTACGGGTATTGGACAGACAGCAACTACAACACGATATTTGGCCGTGAGTGCTCGAATACCAAAAGCGGCAGCGTGTGGTGGGAAAAGGGGCGTGAGATCTAAAGCAAGGGGCTTGAAGCACCTGCTCGATCGGAGAATTTGGGGTCTCACGTCGTCAAGACAATCTACAAGGAGTGGCTATGCCACGCTATGCACGAGTTTTCAGCCACCCTTTTCAGAAGAAGATTCGGGCAGTCATGGAATTAAGAGGAAGTATAGGGAATGCTGTCCGTTTACACGAGCTGACCATAGTTGACCAATATATATAAGTATACAATGCATTTCATAGGACATTTTCCTTGTATCTTAGACGCATTTGGGCGCTCTTGGGCCATTAATCAACACTCCACTCATTTCCTTCGCTCTCAACGGCGACCCGCCTCCTCGTCTTCCGCCTCGTCCAGGCCAGCGCGTCACCGAAGGACTCCCCCAGCCGTTCCCCGGTCTCCAGTGGCACCTCCACCCCCGCGAGCCGCGCGCGGGGGCCGCCCTTCGCGCGGATGAAGAGGGGCCACTCGCGGGTGGAGAAGGCGGACGCCCGCAGCATGGGGTCCGGTTGTTGGGACCGCGCCGTGTGAAGTGGTCGGAGAGTGTGGCTGATCGATCTTGATCGAAAATCCTTCTGCATGACTGCTCTAGGTCCTCTAGGTAAGGCCATATAACGAAAAGCTCGGTGTGGAGTGTGGAGTCCCACCTAAAGTGAACCAATGTCCACCGAGTGGTTGGCATATGAGATCAAAGCCTGAGTACTGTCCTTGAGTGTAATTCCTTGAGCCAAGCAAATCAAGCAGTAGCTGCCTGCCAATTGGTTTTGGTGAAGGCACTGAATTCCGAATGCAGTCTCAACTCTCCAGTAGTTTGTTCAACCGTGTTCTATCATTCGCCACCGGAGCTTGTAGGCATTACTTGCTGAAAACTTCACCTCTCCATGCAAACTCGTGAACAACCCGGGCGGAAATCGCCGCTCGCCGAGCGGCGAGGTGGGCCCCAACTCCTTCGAGCTGGTGAACCTCTTGGGGCGTGGCAGCTTCGGGGAGGTCTTTCAGGTGAAGCATAAGCGCACTGGAAAAGCCTATGCCATGAAGGTGCTTCAGAAGAGCAGGAGCTGGAGAAGTAGCAGTATCCATGTATCTATAATAAGCTGTTTCTGAGCTGTGAAAGAGAGAAGCCATGCAAGACCTGGAAGGGAGGATTGTCTGGTCTTGGTGAGACGACCGTCTGGTGAGACCTGGTCGTGAGAGATCCAGACTGCTTTGGGCCTTTCGGGGTCCGACCGTCCGACCGATGATGTGAACACCCAGTTCTGGGACACGATCAGGACACGATCAGTGAATAACACTCCTTGAACAAACCCTAGGCCTCCAGTCGTACCTTCTGAGAAGGTGTTTGGTGGGTTTGGAGGGTCCAAATACCTTCTGAGGAGGTACTTGGAGGTGTAGGGAAAGGACGAAGGCACTTCTTCAATCCCCTCGATCACTCCAGGATCATGGGCAGCAACCTGCTGCGTTATGCGGTCACTGAGAGGAATATCCTGGCCTACATCCAGCACCCGTACATTGTCTCCTTGCACTACGCCTTCCAGACCACGAGCCACCTAGTATTAGTGCTGCAGTACTGTCCCGGAGGGAACTTGCAGCCCCTTGGGCAGCAAAGATCTCAAGCTTTAGTCTACGATGGTCTTTTCCGTTTGAAACTTGAGATCATACCATGGACAGCTATCCCAAGCAAGTTTTTTGGAACACCGCCAACTCTCTAACTACTCCCAACAATCCTCCTTACAGCAGGCTTATGTTATAACCTGTTCTAGGCTTTTGAGTCAGATCTGTTGTAAAAGTCAGTTCCCGACGAATCGCCCCCTTCGTCCCCTTCGCGAACTCCTTGCGGATCCGGATCTCCAGGCATCTCCTCACGCGCGAGAAGCGCCTTTGTGAGACCTTGACACGCTTTTATGCCGCAGGGGAGCCCAGACGATTCTGGGCAAACTGAACGGATTCAGGTGAAGTCATTGCTGGGAAAGTGGCAGGTGTGGGAAAGTTCCCAGAAACTGCTTTCCTTATCTTTCCTTGCCAGGAGTGTTCTTGGACTGGAAGTGTGCTGAAGAGGTTGAACTTGGACGGCAAATTCAGATGATTTGGAGAGAAGATGTTGATTTTTCTGTAGACCTGTCACAAACCCTGGCAGCCGTGCCGTTTTACTTGCACAGGATGATGACCATGTCTACCCCAGGACGTCAAACAAGTGCCGCAAAGTCGTGCCGCGAGCCGTGAAGCGTTTTCCCGCCTCAGGCTGAGATTCTTCTAGCTCTCATCCACTTGCATGAGAGGCCGGATGTTTTTTTGTCCAGCAAAAAAACAGGGGGGAAGCACATGGTGTTCTGTTTGTTTTAACCGAACGCGACTCGATCGACTCAAAATGGATTCTAATAAAGGACCTACTGGGCCCTGGCCAGCTAGGTGGATCTAGGTGGTGTTTTCGGAGATTGTCATGTTCAACCTTTACTTGGGATGATTGAACCCACTGGTTGTTGGTTTCATGTGGTTTCACATTTAATTTGAAGGTGGTTTACTGGAGATGACTGACTCATATTGAAACCCATTGGCCCATTGGTCCTCATATGTTTCGTTTGTTTTCGTTGAAACCACCAACTGGATGTTCTGACCCCATGGTTGAAAGACCAAGAACCGAGGCGACGGAGCGGTCCGTCGATGTGCTTTCGATCACCGGTGGACTCGATGTCCTCACCGGTCGAAGCAGGATGCTGAAAAGAGAAGGACCGTATCTTTTGGATCGACTAGAGCTAGTTACATAAGCTCTGGATTCTCTTTGGCTACAGTTCTGCTTTGCCTAGCTGAGCTTTCGCACTGCACTTGATGAACAAACATGATGAAGCACGGGGGGTCAAAGTCCATAGCTAGAGAAAGCAGCATGGTCGCAAACATTTCGAAGATCCGACTCCATACCAGTCACTGGGACGTCATGATGAGCCAACACTGGGACGTCATGCTGGCGTAGTCGACAGAGAATTGCTAGACAATCATAGACGACCGTCTAGCACGACCAGGATACGAATGGACATCGGACATGATCGTACACAAGGTCGATGTGCCGTAGTAGTATAATTTGCAATTTGATTTGTCATGCAAATCGTCGCAAATGCATTGATGTTTCAATAGATGTTGTTCTAGATTCTAGATACTCCCTGGTGAAGATCTTCTAAGACCTAGAGATCTGATCTCAGGTCTTTAGAGTTTATATATATATATATACAATACATGACTACATGACACATATGATTCACTCACATTCTTCCGGCAAGAAGAAAACACGGACGAGGTCGCAGTTCGGCACAAATGACGTGCGGTTCGTCCGTGACCCGTGACCCACGTGCCGGTGGAAATCCCGTGCCTGGCCGTGCGTCTCTCGTCTATCGTTCCGACTCGTTTCGACGTATCGGGTTCGATGAACAAAGGACACCCGAATGATTGGAACCGACCTTGGTGCACCAATGATTCTTATACCAAGCCACAGAATTAGATGTACTTTCCCTGAAACTCTTGTAGTGGACACACACCCCTGTTTGGTATTCGGATTTCATGGCTTTTTCCTTATTCAGGGCCATGGCAAACCCTTGCCATCCACGTATCCATATGAGGTTCCAGAAAGTGTACGCTCCGACTCACTAACATGGAAGTAGAAAACCCCCCTGTTCGTCAAGGAAAGTCGTCTTGCAAGGGGCCATGCTATCCACTTCCATGTGATGTGTTCGTCAGAGTGTAGATGGGTGAACCATCAAGCCGTTCACTTCTCAGACCTGTCGAGCATCGCGTCGCGGGCCACAGGAACACTGTTTTCCGTGACCTGAAACCTGAGCCTCGGCACAGAAAACGGGGACAGTAGCTCGTAGCTCGTTTCGCGGCGGTTTGGTACCGGAGGGCCAAAAATTAGGCATGTTGCTTAGACAGACGGGTGTTGAGAAGATGAATTCATCAGTGAATCAACAGTTCCGCAAAGAGGGTGGAAGCATGTGGAAGCCTTGGCTAATGATTGAACCGGACAAGGTCATCCAAGGTCAAAAATCCCACGCTGGGTCGATGGTCGATGGTTTTTCAGGCTGGTGAATCTGAGGATGGTTGGTGAGTTGTGCAAGGAGTGGAAGGATCGATTTTGGGAAGGGAAAGGCTTTAGACACAACATGAAATGTCCAACAGTTCTGGTACGCATCGGTGTCCTCGACTCGCCCAAAATGGGTTTGAGAGTTTGGGGTGACACACCGATGGCTACGGCACGCTCTCTAGCGCTCGTTGTTTGATGCTCAGAGTCCGTTGGGAGAAAATCTCCGCGAAGGACAACGTGGTCCTTGATGAGACACACCACGCCTTGTTGACTGACTTTGGGCTGTCCAAGGAGCCTGCTCCACAGCTTGGGGTGCTGTTGCGGGTGATACAGGTCGTGGTTGTTAAAGTCTGCTATGTTGGAAGGGATTCACTTGTCTCAATGGTCAATTTGATTGTGTCGCACAGGGGGGCGATGCCCAATCACCAACCCTTTGACTAGCAAAACACAGGAAGCAAGGATTCTGCAGATCTTAACCGATCTTTTCAAGATCTTAACCGTTTGTCGGGGCCAGAACTGACCGTTGGCTGAAACAGTCCGACGACCACCGATGATGCGGTCGGAGCGAGGACAGACCGCGGTGCGGTTCGCGCGAGCCGCTGCGCAGGAGGGTGTCACTCAGCGAGGGACGTGCTCCTTCTGTGGCTCTGTGGCCTTTTTGGCGCCCGAGATCCTACTTCGAAAAGGCCTTCCCGCGGGATGGATGGACTGGGAGGGGAACCCCCACGCGGAGGCTATGAATTCCCAGGCCAAGCCATGCAGGCTATGCTTTTTGGGCTCTTTCATCTTCCCTTTCCAAGGGCCTTTTGCGAGGGTTTTGGCTGGGTCTTCGGTCTTTGTGTGTTTCTCTTCGCTTCTTTGGTCTTTGGGTAAGCCATCCGGGGGCAGTGGCAGAGGCCGTGGCAGAGGCCGTGGCGACGCGTCCGAGAGGTTCATGCTCGCCAGGTGTTCGTTCACCTGATACGGAGAACATGTCGTGGACGAGAACCATTTCTATCATTTTCTATCAATATACCCAGACACTCCATACTCTTTTTTTTTGGGAATATACATGAATATACATTGAACCCACGGCCCACTCCAATGTAGGTCGATATGCCGTACACGGAGTGTTTGGGATATATATCTGATTTGGTATCTGATTTCTTTTGGGCCACCAGTGCTCCCTAACTGCTCCTTTTGGGCCAAGAGCGCTTGTTCCTTTAAGGCCACAACCTGACAGTGGACATCTACAACCTGGGCGTGCTCGTTTATGACATGCTCACTGGGATGCCACCGTTCGAAACCCATTGAGATGAGGAACAAAAGCTAGCAGCATTCCGTTCGAAGATGGATGCGAAGTGAACATCCTAGGTCGTAATTCTTATAGAAACTGGTGGTGAGATGCAGACTGTTCACCATCAGTCAAAATCTTTCCCAAGTTTGGCCGAGGTTCTATCATCATGATAGGGAGACCCTGTTCACCCACATCAAACATGCACACCTTGAGGCGCTGGGCGAGATTGGGTGTTGACTGAAAGTTGTGGATGCAAACAAATGCGTGCAGGATCGGAAGAAGAAGACTGGGGTACGGTATCCTGGGGTTGATGATGGGTGTTTTTTCTCCAAGAGATGCACGCATGTTTTACGTGAATACGCCATTGGCTTCAATTTCAGGCGCAAAAGAACATGTTTCTCAACGTGTCAACTTATATAAGATTATATATAATAATTGCAGAAACACACACCAGGTTTTGTGCGCAGTAAGACAGTCAGCACATCCTGGGCCTGAGAATCCGAAGTGCTGAAACTCTGACCACTGACACACCATTTGATTTTCAGCGAGTGTAATTATAATATCATCGGACTGGGGCTTGGTAGGCAATAAGGGCATGACCTCCCAATCGAGATTCCTTAGGGGCCATTCCCTCATTCCTTGCTAAGCACTAGTCAGTCATGATGTTATTTGTATAGATCCACGTACTCTCTGAGGCGGTGATTAGAGACGCCTTTATGAGGATCCAGTCATTCGTTTTGAGAAGGTAGCAGCAGTGGACCCCTACATGATATGGATGTGTGTGTGGGAATAGGGAGACCCCAGCCAACCAATTTGTGTGTATGTGTCCTCTTCCCAGGGTGTCTTTCAAGGACGTCCGTTTAGTTTATTCTAACATATATATATATATATTGCAACATATAAAATTAATATCATATTTCGAAAAACAAAAGATCATTAATTAATGATCATTATTGATCCTTCATTTGACTGTTTTGGCAGGGAACCCACAATTCCGATCTGACACCAGATTTCAGGACCTTCATTGGAAACCAATTCTTTAAACGATGCAAACCATGAAGGCTTTGAGTTAATATCAATTCGGCATAATCCACCTTTCTCAGCACTGAAACCACAAGTCGTGTGACCATCCACGATTTTGGGGCCAATTGTTGGGGGTCAACAAACAATCCAGTTGAACAACAACGCACTTATAACCTCACTTCATTTCTCTCAAACGACCATCCATCCATGCCAGACTGGCACGACCCATCGACCAGACCGGGCACGACCGGAACCTACGACCGGGCACCATGTCGCGGACAGACCATGTGATTGATCCCCAAAGAGCATTCGTGGGTGTCCAAGGGTCCAATAGATTTTCTACGGGGGGGATCTACGTTTCTTTCTATTTGGGGGGTCTATACAATGGTAATTATCTAGTATTGAACTTCATTTCACCCAACCGATGGGTTGGTCCATCTTCCTTCCAGGGGACCTTTGAGAGGTCCTCTTTCAATACAGGCCCATATGCCCTGACCCCTTTCTTTCTCGGCCAAGAGAGACATGGAGCGTCGGAGCAACCTTCGGCCGCGTGACACGAAGAGAGGTGCCCCTCTACGTGTCACGCGTGGCACGTGCCTTCATTGAGGTGCGACGGCGCGATCCACACAACAGACTGGCAGATGGTAGCGAATGACCTCTGAATCAGGGGACCCCTCCCTACTGCCTATGGGCTTTGTTTAGCTTTATTTGGCGGTGGTTCATGAACCGGAAGTGCATGCTACATGATATTACATTGGCCCCTTTTGAACCATCCGGGCAAATAATATTCCATACCAGCACCCTCCAACAGGTCATTTTGAGACCTCTTAGGGCCGAACCCTCCAAAGGAAGACCTGTTGGAGAATGCTGGTACCCAGACGCTCCATGGGACTGGTATATATGCCGATCAATTAAATTGGTTTGAGGGGTCAATTTAGGCAAAAAAATTGCAGTCCCACTAGTCGTGTTTGGGGTATGGTATAGATTGCTGGGAACTGGTATAGATTGATTGGGATGAGAATCCGGAGGCTTCGGCGTTGACACTGGCAGTCACTGGCGCCACACCCGATCCCTGAAGCGCAAGGACGACACAAACTTCTGCGGGTTGGGTGTCGGTGGCTTCAGTGGACTACACCGCTTATGGCTGTTGACGTTTAACTTTTGTGGGAAGCCTTAATAAGTAGAGACCCATCCATAGAGTGTCCAATAGAGATCCCTCAGCAGTGTAATGTAGTGATCCCTGATAGGCTAGTCCAGCCAGGACACCGGTCCTGGTATGAATGAAGTGTCCAATGTTCCGAAAAACTGCCCATCGACCAACCCCTGCGCATGGTGTCACGTCTTCCGGAGCCAAAAAGACGGCTTCGGGGCTTCGCACCAGATGCGCGGGTCTTGAGACTTGGAGCAACGCGAAGATTCCGTCCAAAGCCCCAAGAATTGGGTTCATGCACACCCCGAATCACCTCTTTTCGGGGCTATTAGACACCCGGAATCCATGGTGGTAGGTACTGTATAATATAGATTTTATATGATTTTATAGATGGTTTGTTTTTGTTCAACAGTTGGACACAGCAAAACAGGGACATGGCATCATGGTGACATGGGTACTAGTATAGGACTTCAGATAAGTCTCCAATCTCAATAACTCGAACAAAATGGATCGACTATATCATCCATTGCAATTCACATTTCCTGACCAATGTAGGCAGATATGGCATACATGGAGTGTCTGGGTTATGTCCCTTAGGCCCTTCCTACCTACCCCCCCTTCCTTCCGTGAGGCAACCATGGAACGAGATCCCAGCAAACGCTTGGGTGCGCACGGCACGGAGACCGTCAAGGAACGACGCCCCGGCCCGCAATCGGTGCTGAACGGAACCCGGACCGAAGCCCTGTTCCTGCCGCGATGTTGAGTACAATACAATGGTATAATGTATTCTTATAAGAAGCTTATATGTTAAGATGCTTGCCTAGGCCTATAGTTTCATAGTTCATCTTATTTCAACATGAACATGTGATGTTGGATTTGATCTCATGTTTAATCTTCTTTCCCAGGTGGTGAACAATTTGTGGCAGAGGTTACACATCAACCGCCTGCGATGTTTGTTCCCGCGGATTGACGTCAAGTCATCAGGGTTGAATGGAATTCCGGCTAAGCCGAGAGGACCACGTCTTCTTCATGGAAACAGATTTCGACATGCTGATGCGAAGAGAGGCGCCGGACATGACGTCGTCATGTCATGAGTCCCGGTCTATGCCGGTCTAGATCATATGATGTGTGTGCTAATGCCACTTTTGAGAGTGAAGCACTTTCTGAAAGGCAACGCCAATGGCGTTTTGGCCTAGTTTTCCTACCTGAAAAGGGACTGACCCTCCCAAATCCCCTCAAATTCAGGTCTTTGGAGCTTAGCCGGAGGCTGGCCTCGATTCCTTGACTTGATCCAGGGACGAACCTGCAATCTTCCACCTTGTTTCGGCTGCATCGCTGGATTTGTCCAGGCGATCCTCAGGCACACACACAAACACTCTGTCACATCGAAACCATCTTTCAGTGAGGGTGTGTCACGGTATGTCGTCACACAGAAGTCCTTGAAGTGAGCAAAAACATAGACCCAGACTCCTGCCCACACTCCGGCCACCGAAAATGGCGACATGTTTTTCGACAGCGGATTCAAATCAGTGCATTTCAGACGTGAGTTCTGCGCCATGGAGCTTGCCCCGCGCTACTCCAAGTTGCA